GGTGAAATTTTAATTTTTGCCTTAACTTCCCCTTTAAGAGTAAGACTAAGAGGAAGGTGGCTCCACACGTACCCTCGAGGCCTCTGCGCGCGCATCGTTTGAAAAGTGTAGATTTTCAGTAAATTTTTCGGTAGCGATGATTTTTGTGCGATCAATCGTTGTAGGAAACGTCTTCTCGCTTTTCTGCAATTCTGGCGACCTAGCTAGAACCTGCTGCTAGTGTCCCTCTTCACTCGTTCTTTCTATGAAAGGGGAAGGCAGCACTCGCAGAAGATTTTTCCAAGAATGCAATGTCGACTGGTGCTCGTACCATAAGAAGGGAGAAATCAAAGTCCGCTCTTGAATCATGCCTGAGTATTAGAAAATTATTTTCAGAACACGCTTGTGTAGATTTCCTGCCAGTGCCACTGACATCTCGCGACCTTCAAATAATTATAACTTGCTCGATCATCTCCCGCACTGACTGGCAAATTCGTCAGGTAGCTGTGGATGGATCAATTCAGGGAGATCGAAGGTAAATACATCGAAGCACTTCAAACACGTTTCAAGACGCACTTCAAATTTTGTAATTGTGTCTTGAAAAGTGTTTAGAACAATTCGTACTTCAATACGCTGTTGAATTGTGTCCTCTGCTTGGGAGTCTCGACTGTTTTATTGCTGCATGGCTTTCCTCAACACCGTTCACTGTACATGTATCGCGGAACGCAGATTGGATGGCATTGGAGGTGAATTTGATAATTTGTGACTGTGTCATCATCCAAGTGAGGACATCAAATATCAACAGGGACGCTCCGAAAATCACAAACGCTGCGAAATAGATATGAAAATGGTCTTACACACTGGAGGGTATTCCACATTCATTGTGTCATATCTTTAGACTGTCCGAAAGTTTGTCGTGCCGTGCAACTTTCACAGACTAATCCGATAATTGGCATGTGGCCCTACTGGCACACACTCATGCGTATGCCGTTGAGTTTATCTATGTGTGCACGCAGATGTGTGTATACATATACAATTTTATTACGTATGCAAAATTAGGCAATCTACATGTACATATATATGTGTGTGCACTCACTCCTATGACATAGAACGACAGTGCAGGCTATGTAAAGTCGCATGAATGTGTGTCACCCGGGTGTGTACATGCATGCGCGCTCGCGCGGGCGTTTTGTGTGCGCGCCTGGCATGGCATAACGCCATTCAATATGACTAGTGTTGAACCGTGGTAATTTGCCCCACCCCCGCTTTTTTCTGCTGGCGTTGGATATGCAACTAATGACATAAACTCGGTTGTTGAAAACGAGTGCCATGCACCACAATGGATTGACAATAATATAATACAAGTAGCACTGTAAAAGCGCTGGTAATACTCATGTTGCAGCCATGGCAGTTGTGATTAGCTTTCCAAGTCAAGCCTGGTGCAGAAATGATTGCACTCTGACCAGTTGGAGTGGCCCAGGACTGCCGGTTGTGGAGAACAGGAGTGATGCTTGTATATACGCTTGTATTTACATGATGTACGCAGTGTACTTCGAAGTAACGTTAGGTGTATTACTTGTGTGTTCTTCTGCCTGTGCGCGTGTATATGTGCTGGTCAGTGTGGAACCGCCATCCATATCAGCTCATGCAGCTGCTATCAGTCTCAACAGCTTGTATCTGGCAAATAGGGTTTTAGTGACTCTATTTTGCTTACTGTGTTCAACATTGCACACAGCTACTTGATGTAATAGTAGCATCTTGGAAATTTTATATTTTTGATAGTTAGCTTCAGTAGAAACTTCTCCAGTGTGGCTCTTAGCTTCATTACCACGGAGACTAAGCATTCAAGTAATGCACGAAGAACAGTGGCTAGATGTGAAGTGAAAAGCCATTGGACCGTACCCCGTGGAATACGCATTTAGTATAGAAGTATTTCTTGCTATGTTGGCAGCAAACACTGTATAATATAATAATTACATTACCAGTAGAAAGTGCCCAATGTGCATTGCTTCAGCACCATGTTTTGGACAAAGCAGTCAACAAATTCCACATCACTATCGGCTTCATGTTGGAGAAAGTTGTGAAGAACACTAGAGCATACATGTACACTCAATACACGTGCTCACATGTATGGCATTTAGTATGTGGGCGACTTCAAAGTTCTATTTTGGTAGTTTGCTTCGGTAGAAACTGTCTAAACTTGATCCAAAGCTCTACTACTATGTTCTGAAGATGTAGCAATCAAGTAATGTAAGACGCGTATCTGCCGCATTGGAGCTAGTTGTGAAAACCTTTAGACCATACACTCAATGCACATGCTCAGCTATGGCATTTAGTATGTGGGCGACTTCAAAGTTCTATTTTGGTAGTTAGCTTCGGTGGAAACTGCTAAAACTTGATCCAAAGCTCTACTACTATGTTCGGAAGATGTTGCAATCAATTATTGTAAGGTACGTATCTGTCATATGGTGGAGCCAGGGGTTCTAAGGCGTTGGACAATGTCCCAGTGCAATGTGCTGATTCTTGAAATATGGCATCACTTGAAACTTCAAAGTTTTATTTCACGAGTTACCTTCTGTAGAACTTGCTCAAACTTGCTACACAGTACCACTATTAGGTTATGATAGCATAACCATCAAATACAGGGCAAGTCCAGTGTCAAATACTTGTGGGCGGGGCTAATTTGTGGGACATGTGCGCTGAAATGGGATGATTCCGAAAAGAGAAAAAAGGTCACCTTCTAGCAGAATTCTACCCACTTCTACAGCTTATGCTGATATTTAGCAAGTATACTACTGTCCTGATGTTGGACATCAAGAAAAAGGGGGTAACTACCAGTGCTACGGCCAAAAAAGTGGTTTTCCGGTATTTTTTGGCCTAAATTGGCAATTGTGAGTATGCTATCTTTGGCCCCTCCCCCGAGTGAAACCGGCCGGTAGAACTTGATAAAAATTTGTCTCCCTACACTAGATATCCAACGGAACAAAGTACAATCGTTTGTAGCCACGTTTCAAACAAAACAAATTTGGACCCGAGGGGTAGGAGCCACCGTGCTGAGTCGAATGGTCTGACTCTTGGTCCGAGAAAGCTGAGACGCTCCCTTCCTACTTGAATCCCAATCGAACTCGCGCACTTCCACCGAAACTGGGTGACTGCGCCCTACTAGATGGGGATTTGTATGCAAAATGTCACTAAAAGCGCCATTTCGTTCTTATAAAAGCATGGATGACCGCGATTGGCCCATATGTTGTAGTCTTTTGGACGCTGAGTCGATTGGTTTTGGTCCGAAAAGGCTGCAATGCAGCGTTCCTCCTTTATTCCCAATCGAACATGGTTGAACAAGCGGTCACGTGCTCCTGCGTACACCAGTCACCTGGTCACCGTGCCCATGGTGCCTGCAGGGTACAACTTACTAGCCTGTTTGACCTTTTTTGGGTGCACTCCTGTCACTCGAGTTGAACCTTAACGGCCTTGGTGTGAAAGTAAGTTGTCGCCTGCTGGCGTGCACAGGTAATTTGGGCACCCAGGAGCACGTGACCGCTTGTTCAACCATGTTCGATTGGGAATAAAGGAGGAACGCTGCATCGCAGCCTTTTCGGACCAAAACCAGTCGACTCAGCGTCGAAAAGACTACAACATATGGGCCAATCGCGGTCATCCGTGCTTTTATAAGAACGAAATGGCGCTTTTAGTGACATTTTGCATACAAATCCCCATCTAGTAGGGCGCAGTCACCCAGTTTCGGTGGAAGTGCGCGAGTTCGATTGGGATTCAAGTAGGAAGGGAGCGTCTCAGCTTTCTCGGACCAAGACCATTCGACTCAGCACCCCGAAGACTACAACTGGTGAAATTTTAATTTTTGCCTTAACTTCCCCTTTAAATAATATGTGAGCAACAAGACTTGTTGCTCCACTTAGTGGACATGGACGTCGTTGGCAGCACAGAGCAGAGGATCGCAAACCGGATGAAGAATGGATACTGTTCTTCATCCATGATGAAGGGATCAAAAACCGTTCAACACAGATATTGTGCTACATCGTCTTGCCTGGATGTATGCGGTGGTGCCGCGCCGATGCATATCGCGTCCATGACACTGTTTACAATCATCTGCTTTCAGCCTTTGTTCACATAAAATATGATGCACCGTAGCTAGCTGTAGTTTTAAAATGATTATAATGTTACCGCCACATTTACTGATTGCGTTTGCGGAAATAATATTATGAATTCCTAAAATATACTACAAAATATACTAGGTCTACTACTAGTACTACTCAATCTACCACACAAAGGACTGAATGAAGTAGTATAGGGAAATAATCATCCCATGATCTTCTACAATGTGAATGCTTCCACGTACGCATGTCATTGTGCAGCCTAGCACCCGAAACTTCAACAAAACAATGATTCAAAGAGACGTTATTCAAGACAAGTCATGCATTCAGTCTACGTTCACTGGTATTATAAATCCAAAGATTCCGTTCAAGGCAGCTGCCATGGTGTGTACCTTACCACACGTTGTCAGTCCGCTCATTGACTAGCATGAAATCGTTTGTAGTGATGATCAATCTACAAAACACTATTGTTAAAAACAATCCAGAGTCACCTCGATGGAGACGGACAGTTCCTACGAGACCTGCCTGTCGACATCAGGGTCAAGTGGCAAGTCATTTAGCCGTTACGCACGACAATCTCAGGAACACCAGTCATGTCCTCCTCCAACGAACCAGCTATGTTACTTCAGAACTCACAAAGACACAAACAGAATGAAATAAAACAATTTAAATGCTTCATGGACGGAGTGACTTTGCGTTTTTTGCTTCGTGTTTCTTTGTGTTTCTCTTGAAAATCTAGCAAAATTGAGTCATTCGCATGAAAATGTCTGGTTACGTCAGCGAAACCCACTGATTTTCCCCTATTTTCAAGCGCTGAACGGCGCAAATACTGTGAAATCACGGCAACGAAAATTATTTTTAAAATAGTGTTCGACGCGTGCGCGCGCGTCGACGAGCGAACAAACCTCCTTGCACCGGCATTGGTGCACAGCTTCGGGACGGCCAAGTAGTTCTCAAATCGTCCTCTACGCTCTAGAGACCCTTACCTACCTCTGTGCGAAGTTTCAAGTCCTCCCTCTGAAGTGGCATACCCCGAAAATAAAAAGCATCCTACAGATTTCGGATCCCCGACTAGAACTTAGAGTTAGAAGCTGATTTCAGCAATGAAAATGTAGCTGCCGTTCTTGGAGGTCAAAGGTGTGCCGTTGGCGGATCTGCGGAGTTCCCGGCGGCGTCTCTCCTGAAGGCGCAGAAACTACTGCGTGATGCAGTCAAGGACAAGGATAGTGGTGTGCAGATCAGCGGAGGTTTAGGAATAAATAGTGAAATAGGCGGACTCATTAATTTGTCTAACTTACTCTGCTGACGATGGATGAAGTAGGATTGAAAAAGACAGTAGTAACGAACACGATGGCGTTTAGCGGTGCAGGCAGCGGCAAAACTACGATTGCCGGTACTAGTATTATGGTGGAATACCGGAGGGTTAAAGATTTGATGCGGAAGGCCGACAATCGTGGTATTGTCCTTGCGTCGCCACTGTTTGCTGAGCGGCAATACCTGGACTTGCTGCGTGGTCATGCACAGGAACAGAACGGCACCTTCTGCAAAGGTCTCTTTGAGCTACTGGCAAGCCTGGTCACTGATGATGGTGAGTGTATGGACGAGGACAAGACCAGAAGAGTATATGCACATCCTCTTTTTCTATTTTGGTGTCTCCCATGTACCAAATGTTGCCTTGTTACGGGAGGCCGTAGGGAGGTGTGCGAAGAAACCTTTCCAGAAGTTAGTTCCTAGGTTTGAACCCAATATGTAGAGGGAGAGGGAGAGGGATAAAGAGAGAGAGGGAGAGAGAGAGAGAGAGAGAGAGAGAGAGAGAGAGAGAGAGAGAGAGAGAGAGAGAGAGAGAGAGAGAGAGAGAGAGAGAGAGAGAGAGAGAGAGAGAGAGAGAGAGAGAGAGAGAGAGAGAGAGAGGATCAGCCAGAGATTGAGTTGGAGTGAATGAAGGAAGGCCTGAATCTGTCATAGGTAGCTCTACTTATCGGCGAACCAACCTGTAGCATGCACATTTCGATTTGTTAAACAATAACACTAATACGGATCCAGAACCAGAAGGGTGTGTCCAGAACCACCTTTCCTCTTCCGTGGAACCTCGCCACGCCATGATCAGGCGTCCAATGCCGCAGCTCCAAACTGTGGGGCAGGGTAGAAAAGGTAGACGAAATCGTGTGCATGTATGTGTGTGGGAATGTGCATGTGCGTGCGCGCGAGTGTGTGTGTGGGGGGGGGAGGGGAGTGTGTGTGCGTGTGTGTGTGTGCGTATGTGTGTGTGTGGGGGGGGGGGGAGTGTGGGAGTGTGTGTTCCTGCACGTGCATGCTTGCGGGCACGTACGTGTGAACATGTGTGCACTGGAGCGCACGTGCATGTGCTTCAGTACTGGTATACGTACAGGCCCGTCGCACCGACTTTGGAGGTGGGTGCGGGGGTCCACCCCGGGAAAAAAATTCAAAAATTGAAGCCAATTTCAAGCATTTCCGGGCATTTGGTGCCATTTCAGTGTACGGTAACTACAATGAAAGTCTTTTTGATTCTGCAACAAACCAAGAAAACGCTACGATCGGGGACAAACATTACCCTCCCCCGGGAAAAAAATTCACAAAAATTGAAGCCAATTGCAAGCATTTCAAGGCATTTGGTGCCATTTCAGTGTTAGCAATGAAAGACTTTTTTCTGCAACAAACCACGATCGAGGGGTCGGGGACAAAGATTTGTCACGTTTGCGCTAAGCTGCGATCATCGCGCTTTGTTGTAAAATGCTCCAAAAAAAAAAAAAAAAAGGCCGAAAAGGTGGGGCGGCCTCAGCTGCCCCGGCTGTGACGGCCTTGACGTATGAACCTGTGAACAGAGATTGAGTGTTACGCTCTCTCGCCTTGACTTGGTTCGGCACTTATTTTCTGGCTAGTGTTGAAGGCGACTGTGTTTGTCATGAGTAGACCACTCTGACCTTGACACTTTCACCTGATTAAAACATACGTTAGGGGAGATGGGGAGACGGAGACAAAGACGAACGAAACAACTACATTATGGAAGAGAGAGAGAGATTGAGTGAGGGCGGCAAGATAAAGGGCCTGGGTAGCTATGGCAGATATGGCCGCGCAAGTAGCTACCCAGGCCAAGGGAACAAAAGGTGACAAAAAGAGACAAAGGGTGAGTACGAGGGTGCATGCAGGCCAGCTTGGAAAAGGTTTTAGAACGTACGGGAGGAGGTACCTAACAGTACACTTGAGTTCATTGCCATAGGATCGGCCGCTCACTCGAGCTACGTTAATGACACCTAGTGAGGCCGAACTAGGTAGTTTTCCGGAGATTGAGTATGAACCTTTGTGTATATTTTGTGTGCTGTATGCCTTGTTAATATGTGGGTACAAGAATCAGCTACGTTTCAATTTCGCCTGACTCAAGAGGATATCTCGGAAGCTGTGAAGATGCTCACGATGTACAAAACCGACCCGTCGGTGGTGGATTCCGTTTGTAACTTCTTGGACATCGCATTGAATCGCCCATCACCCATAGATGATGACCAGCAGGGTATGTGCGTGTGTGTGTTCATGTGTGTATGTCTGTGTTCGTGTGCATGTGTGTGTGTGTGTGCATGTGTGTGTGTGTGCGTGTGTGTGGGTGCGTGTGTGGGTGTGTTTGTGCGTGCGTGAGAGAGTGAATTAATGTGTCTGTGCGCAAGATTATAAGCTCCTTATGTACTTGGAAGGACTTGATAAAGCCTCTCATCACGTAAGGTATTTGCAGGTTCGCCCGGTTTCTCTGCAAATTGTTATAGTCATTGTGAAACTGGAAGGCCTAACACAAGACCAACATAACCCTAAACCTGCAATTTTCACCCTGAGCACCCTTTTCACATGCTCTGCACCATTTAAATAGAAGTTTGTGATTGTGGAGCATGTTCCTAGTATAGTTAAAGAATGTTCCGAGTACTCCAGTTTCAGAAATTGTCGGTGCTGAATATGTTCAGTTTGAGGGGAAAAGGCCAGGTTTGGTAAACAGAAGTTTTCGGTACAGAGTGGCAGTTCCCTGTTGGATTGTGTGTGTTAGTGTTAGTTCGGTGTATTGAAATTTTAGGTATGAAACAGATGCACCGAAAGTACCGAAAATAAAAGTAAACCGAAAATTTGTGAAATTACAGTACTTTTTTCATTTTTAGCATCATCCGTTAGCGTCAGGCTACACTCCCACTCGGCACTGTCTTTGCTGCGCGCCATACTACTGGCCCGCGTCTTCTGGGCGCTGTACTGCAACCCCCGCAGTTCATGAAAATACACACATTTTCTATTCCATGAACATGTTTTCCATGGAGAACGTTTTCCACCACAGTACCCGTTCTTCAAAGACAGGGGTGGGGAAGAGGCGCAGCTATAATGATAAAAATTGTGCGAGTGTGATAGAACAAAATGATCGCGTGTGTGAATTATTGTATCGTTGATAATTTGTCCAATCAAAATATTTTCTCTGTTCTTCGCACGTTTTGTATCTTGTCTGCCATTCTTTCTCCCCAGTTCCCATCGTGGAGCTATGTCCGGGAAGGGAGTGTATCGAGATATGCAGGAGCTTTGTAAACATGATGGAGCACGTCGACAGGACCAAGGTGAAGAACAACGCCATCAAACGTTTCACAACGCTCATCCTGCACATGCGCGGCATCATCCAAGGTAGGATCCCGAATGGCTTCGTGCCGTTACGGAGGGCAGGCTTGCTTGCGTTTTGCCAGGGTGCCAATTGTTCAAACTCTACTTGACCATAGAGGGCTCTTGTTAGCAAAATATTAATGGCTGTATCCTCCCGGTGCTGTCTAGTTGGCTCGCAGGGTTTTGACTTGATACAACTCTTCCTGCCGAAGTAATCAACAAGAATGCTCCCCAATCCCCCTCCCCACCCCCACCCCCCCCCCCCCCCCCGACCCCACCCCAATCCACCCCAATCCACTTCATTTTACAGAGTGCTGTGATGATGTACGGTTAGTCTAGAGACTGTTAAGAGTATAATTTCAGATGTTCTGTTATGATGAGTGGCTATAGTGGAGTGTTCGCGTCTTGACAAGCGTGTCCGTGTTCTGTTGTCTTGTTGTCATCTGCGTAGAAACCGGAGCAATGCAAGCGATCACCGAGTTGAACATTGATGTGTCGCTGTCCAAAGTCCTGTGCTACCTGGAGCCCTCCCGGGATCTTGTCGAAGTCTGCGCCAAGCTGCTCAAGTTCTTCGTCACAGATGGTGAGGCATGATGCATGAACTGTGTCAGTCATTGGCCATCTCTTCATGCGTAGTCTACCTATTCTATCAGCAAAGCGTTGTCAAAATATTTATTGTATCAGAACGGTTTCATTCAAGCTTGCAGAGAATAATTATGTGTTCAGACACCTCTGCTGCCCAAACAAGTTTTGGCTCCCTGTTGTGACCATGTTTGCAAGGTATTGCTGTACCTCATTTCCGGCACGTAATTGTAAGATTACTCGTTGCTTGGCAACCACAGCCCTGTTATCTTGAAAAAGCCTGTTTTCTTTTATGGTTATCTCTCACAATCAGTATTTGAAAGGCGCATTTCGAAAATATTGTGCAGTAAACCAGTTGAATTACAACCTCACATATCACAACAGCTCTGGAAGAACGACACAGTCTTTATCATACTTTCAAACTGCACACTTTCAACCTTGCGAACAACGCCGAAGAAACACCAAGCATACGAATACATGAAAGTGTATTATTTTCCTTTACGTTGTGTGTTTTAGATACCTTGAGGCATGCGCGTCGCCAGGGAGTGTCAGCCGCAACCGTGCATGAACGAGCAGGCGCTGCCCTCGCGACCTGTGTTGAGGGTGAGGACGAACAGTGGGCGGACAATCCTCAAATGAGAACAGCAGTGCGAGAGCTGCTATCTGCACTTGGTACGTAGAGCATGCTTTAGTTGTCTGTATATTTGTTTAGTTATACTCTATTTCACCATAGGCACAGGCAATATCTGCCTTCTCACTGGGCGTATTGCCACAGTGCCTTCTCACTGGGCGTATTCCCACAGTGCTTGCCAAATGATGGTCAGTGATTTCTGCAGTTTGCTGCCAGCCGCCAATTCTGAAGAGAAAAAAATATTGTGTAGCCTGCGATGACGGTACGAGTATATAATCTTTTTTTAGTAGGATACTCAACAAATACGGATGCGGCGACGGGACAGAAACTTCAACAAGGATAAGAAAACTGTGAACGCAGTCGTTGGCGGACACAGAGCAGCACGTACAGTCCCAGTCAATGAAATCCAGTCGCGTCACTCAAGTTTGCGCCTTGCACCATTTCGCAGTCTAGTGTTTGCAGATCCAGGACTGTGCAACGCCTGGTGGGTACTTGAGTGACGCAACTGGATTGCATTGAGCAGCACTGTCCTTGCACTCTACAGAGTTCTGGTGTTGTTGTGCTCTCCTCTGCTGATGACGGTCAAATGGAGACTCAGCAGTGTGGAATTGCATGCAAGTACTGGACGAAAATGTTGAACAGTCTCTGCTGGGATGACGACTACACCATAGCTCAGTACTTAGAGCATCGCTGGCCTCAAGCAAAGGTCCTTGGTTCGAGTCCTGGTGGTGACAGTCAATTTGTTCTTCAGACATTTCCCTTTTGCAACTGTCCCTCAAACCTGTGAATATAGCCAGGCTGGTGATGTTAATGCTCTGCTATTCTTCACTCTTGTTCTGCTATACAGGTTACGTCCCTGCCTCCTCTCTAGTTACTCCTGCGGCAGCTGATTCCGCCGACGTGACTCTCACAGCTCCCACTTCTGCTGCTGCTGCTGCTGCCACCTCGACTTCTGCAACTGCTGCCCCTGCTGCGGTGTCTCCCGCAGCTGCACCTGCTGCCATAGCAACGTCGTCTTCGGACTCGTCGACTGGCACACAATCTACATCTTCTGGAGGTGAGTGACTGTTGTTGTCGTGCAACGGTGTTCTACACAAATTGTAGATGTACTCTGCGTGTGTGTGTGTGTGTGTGTGCATGTGCGTCACAGGGCGGTTGGGTGTGGTACAACGGGGGGGGGGGGGTCCCGCAGAGAAACAATTCGAATTTTTCGGGCAACAGGGCACGTTTTAGCACTCTACGGCCGCAAAGGAGGGTTTCCCTAGCACTTGTTAAACAACCCCCACTCCAGCTCAAAAACACGCTTCTCATGGATTTTTTGGTATTTTCTGTACATCATAGGTGGCCAAGGCAAAAAAGGAAGCCATTGCCCTCGAAAAAATCGCAAAATCTAAAGTACACTGTACAGTTCTAGCGCCAGCCGCTGTTCAAAAACGTAAGTCATGTCCTGCGAAAGTGCGCCACGCCGCATGCAATAGTCTATGTACATGATGTACACGGCCGGCCCGCGGACAGTCGCGAAGTACTAGTAATTATGTTAGTTGTTTTTAGAGAGAGAAGAAGGTCCATTTTTTGTTCGGTGGGATTGAAAGATCTGCCAGTGGACGGGAGAGCTACAACACTGGAAGCAGAAGAAAGGGCTTGCGGAATCTTCCCTGTCTTCGTGGCAACAGGACTTTAGTTTGCGAGAGACTTTCTTCCTGTCGCCGCGGACGCAATTCTTGTTGCTGCTACCAGAAAATTCGGAGAACGAAACGATCATAAGTCGTTTGGTGAAGCGGGTCGTGTCGGTGAACAGCTGCAGAATGTTCTGCCGCCGTGGAACAGCATTCCAAACACTTCCCTATTCCGTTGACAAGCGCGGCGTTCGCGGGTGTACATGTAATGCATTTTCGCATCAGCTTGCAGTAGATCGTCAGGAGCCAGAGATACTAGGTAGGTGTCGTTGTGGACAGAATATAATTATGTTGTAGCTGACAAGTGACAACTGACATGCTTGTAGTGTCTCTTGACCATGCTGATCGCCATTGTAACATGGTAGATCTTGGAAAATTTTAGTTCTGGACCCAGTGATCGCAGCCAGCACTGTTTCCGTCAAGTTTGCAGTGAATGTGTCCGTGAGGAATCCATCATCTGGGTGTCTCTACCCATGGCTCCAACCGCCTATCGCAATGGATAGCTGCCTGGAGTCTTGGGGTGCTAGCTGCTAGGCATCAAGTCTGAATCAAATAATCGTATGCTCCTTGCAATGAAAGTTGTGATGTTTTGTACAAGTTCGAAGATCCTTGAATTTTTTTATTGCTTTCAAGGATGAATTGGGTGGACCAGCCTGGACGAAAAGTGGTACGACCATGATCGTAGTGGTCGTACCATGTATGACGCCCCTGGTGTGTGTGTGTGTGTGTGTGTGTGTGTGTGTGTGTGTGTGTGTGTGCGTGTGCGTGCGTGTGTGTGCGTGCGTGTGTGTGTGTGTGTGTGTTTCCAATCGATAGGTTGCGGGTTTGATTCCCGGCGATTATGGTCACACACGTCTTTCATCTCTTTGTTTAGACTCCTCCGGACTATTCTTTCATTCTCCTGGGTGGTTACCAACAGCCAGTGCATGCCGGAGTATGTGGTGTGATGTGTGTGCGTGAAACAAATGAATAAGACCAAAAAGTAGGGATTTACTGGCCAGAAAAGCCACTTCATAGCTGCGTGGTGTAGACCAGGCTGAATAGTGGCGGTCAATTCTTCAGCCTTGCAAGCTGTTGAGTACCGTAAAGTCGCGGATAAAAGCCGGGTTTCTACAAGCACATCGCGGATAGAAGCCTGAAAATCATTACGGGTCAAATGCATAAAATACTGTCGCGCGTAGAAGCCTGGCTTCTATGCAAGCGCGGATCGGGTGGGTCATCAAGAGTGCATGCGCTATGTACGGTGCATAGTAAAACTGCCGCCATTCCGGTAGTCAGTGGTCGATCTACGCGTGTTGCGCGTAGAAGCCTGGCATACAAGCCTGGCAAAAAATGTCAGTGGTGCATATAAGCATGGTTTGCATACAAGCCTGGTTTGCATTATAGCCTGATGCAGAAAGCGGCTTATGTGCTTATAAGCCCGGCTTTTATCCGCGACTTTACGGTAGTGCAAACCCAGTACAAGTTGCTATGGCTTCTGCTGTAGCATCGCTAGCATCGCCTTCGGTGATGGGCTTCAAATGGTTAAATGGTCAAATGGTGTGTGTCTGTGTGTGTTTGTGTTTGTGTGTGTCTGAGTGTGCTTGTACGTGCCTGGACGCATGTGTGTGTTCATGCGTGCGTGTTTGTGCTTGTTGTGGTTGATGATAACCTACAGCAAAACGAGGTACGGGTCCGTCCAACAAGACCATGCATGAAGCTACGAATAGGACATTCAGCAGCGGTTGGACCAGAGTACGCCGTATCCGCATCAGCCTCTGCGGTCAGTTTGGAACCGGCAAGACGAGCCTGGCGGATTCTCTCAAGAACAAGCAGTTCGTGCACAATATGCCGAGTACACCGGTTCTCAATGTTGATCACAGCAATGTGCTCCACGGCGCAGGAAACCTTAAGGATTGGGACTTCGGCGCTGCACTCCTCTGTGCTCCTGACATACTTGACCATGCTGAAGATCTTGAGAAGAAACGCCAGCAAGAGCACGAGCAGCAACAGCAACCGGCTGGGTCTACAGATCATGAGGCAGCACCCAGCTCTGCTGAATTGACACAGACCATGATCGATGTCATCTTGGCAAACCAAGAGCTGATGCGAGACATCGGCGAAGAAGAAGTGGTGGCGTCCATTTGGGATTGCGGCGGCCAATCAATCTTCTCAAGCCTGCAGCATTTCCTTATGGGTGAAGATTACGTCATCTATATTCTCTGTTAAAACGCCTCAGAGAACTTCGATGACATCAAGCAGCAGAACTACTGGAAGTGGTCAGGAAATAAAATGTCCGAAATGACTCTTGACGTACCGGAAGACCTCAAGAACATTGACCACCTTCGACACTGGCTAACAGCTATCCACTTTGCCAGCAACCCAGGCGAGGCTGTGGGAAGCGAGGCGTTCAAGTACCCGCCTGTGATATTGGTGGGGAACTTTGCCGACAAGCTGTCGACAGATAGGACACTTTTGGAGCACAAGGTTGATATCTTCAAGAAGCTGGGAAAGCTCTGCCGCCGGTCACCAACTTTCCAGGGTATGCTTGAGAGCGATGACATTGATCCCGCAGGGTTGTTCCTTGTGGACAACCACGAGTCCGGAGCTTCTCAAGAAGTTCTAGGAATCCGAAAGAAGCTACAGGATGCTGTTTCATCGGTGCTGGCAAACAAGCAGATTCCGATGGAATGGGTTCGTTTTGAGATGATACTGGAGTATCTCAAGAAACAACCCGCCCGCACTGGCTACACAACAAGAGGGTGGATGAAGACACTGGTGGAGACGGCCTGCAAGATCCGCGACGAATCCGGCATGGACGGTGCTCCATCCGAGTTCGAGCTTCTTCTTCGTTTCTACAACGACCTACGCGTCATCATCTATCAGCCGACAAACAAGAACTCGCCGCAGCCTGATGACATCATCTTCCACAACACACAGTGGCTCATCAGGCAGATCAACGTCCTCGTCTTTGGCCACAAGTACTTGGATGAACCTGGCGGAGGTGGTGGCAGGACGGCGAAGGAAGCCGAGACCAGGTATCGCAACATTTTGTGGACAAAGGGAATAGCGAATCGGCAATTGATGGAGTGTGCCTGGAAGGAGGTGAAACGAGAAGTCCGTGAAAAGATGCTTGGCGTGATGGTCGACTGGGATTTGCTGTACAAATTCGGAGACGCCCAGCAAGCAAAGTACTTCATCCCGTCTGTTCTTCAACATCGACCGCCGGAGAAAATCGAGGAGGCCATGCGCAGCTTCGAGCAGGGCAATGAGCTAAACGACGTCTGCTTCTCCACAGCTGACACACCACTGCTGATCATGGTTCAGCCACCAGGTGAGGCTCCTGAAGACGTCCTAAGCTACAAGTATCCAGACGCGGACACACCGATGCCACACAGCTCCTACTGCAAGCTACTTGTACGGCTCATGAGAAAGTGGGACATCACAAATACCGACCCGAGTCACTGTGAGCTCACCTACAACACAGCTAGGTTTCGGCTGTGGCTGCCGGAGCAGCTCCGTGACCAGTTCCCCGGCAAGGTGGATATCTTCTTGGCTCACTACGACTCGTCAGGTGCACTGCTGGTCAGCATCAACTTCCGGTACTCACCTAAAGGTGCTGCTAGCTCCGCTGATTGGCTGCAGCCGATCTCATCTATATGCCAGCATGTCCGCAAGGATATCATGGAGGAGTTGGATAAGCTGGAGAACCCGAAACTGGACAAACCGGTCATGTTCAGTTTACCACTACCGCCAGTATGCGCATGCAAAGAGGAGTGGAAGGACTACAGCAGCGAAAGCCGGGACCTCGGATACGCACCGTGGCGCGTACTCTACAGTGAATCTGGTGCTCATCACGATCCGTACTGTGCCGGGTGTGATTCGGAGTACAGCATACCCAACAACTCAAACTGCTGGTTCAAAGCTAGTAGTACCTTCCAGGTAAGAGATGAGACCAAAGTTTAAACATTCTAGTGACCATGGAGTTAATTCATTGGCATTGCCCTGATCACAACCCCAAAACAAATCTGCTTCACGTTGAGTACAAATTGTCAGGTGGTTTTGTGCATAAGCTCAAGTTCCAGGTGAAGGAACGAAAGATGTTTAGGCTCATTCTATTGCTAACTTTTGTAAGCTCAAGTTCTATTTTAAAAGCACTCTATTTTGTGAGTCACGTTTTAGAGCGTTTATGCCTTTGCTTCGACAGTATTTATTTATGGTGTGTGTTTCTTTGTGTATGATATACGCGCGCGAATGGGAATTCGTACTTGTACATGTACAGCTCGAAGGACAGCAGAATGATATAGCGAGGCAGCAAGTGGCACTCTGGAAGCTGAAAGCGGAGATTGTCAGTGGGCAGTCACTTGCTACGGTTAGTCATGTCTGTAGAAAAGTACTCCCATTTTAAAATCCTTGAAAAACATTCTTCCATCCGAGGACGACAAGGACTTTGACAAAGTTAGAGCATTTGTTGGCCCGGACACATGCATACTGGTATATTATGTGCATATTCACCTTGAACCGTGAACCTCGAGCACCCATCCGTGATCAGGATGATAGGGGTGTTGTGCAGAGCAGAAGCGGGAGTGCTCGCACACACATACTCACGCTGGCACGTGTATGTTTGTACGTGTACGTGTACGTGTACTTGTAAAATGGAAATAGAAATTTTGGAGATAAGCCACGTGGTCATTCTCAATAATCATGTATCTACACATCATCAAGCAACAATCTGTTGGTTCTAAGAATGTTTTCTTGTGACTATCTTCAGCTTGAATACATCACTGAGTGGTGATCTAGGAATGCCGATTCCTTCGGCGAATATCCGGGTATATTTAAAATAGGCTTGTTCTACCGCTCTACCGGGCACCCTGTCGACAACTGTCAGTTGAAATACTACTCTTTTGCCAATTCGTTTAAATATCTTAACCCTTTACCGGCAAGTGCATTTTGATATGAAATCCATAACATTGAGAAGGATGCCAATAACTCACAACGAGGGCACATTTTGTATGTGCAAGTTATGTTTTCTTGGAAGTCTGGTACTTCTTCTTGACGATGGAAAAAATTATTTTCACATACCACACACATACGCTACTAAATTGGCACCTATACGTCTAAACACGGAAATTGTACACAATGCAAATCGTCAGATTCCGACATTGACATAAAACTGCCAAAACAAGTCGACTTCAGAGTGGAAACGAACGCCATAGCCATCACAGACGTCAGTGGCCGTGCCTCGCTCGCAATTGAGAGCAGCATCGCCCCAAAATCGCTGTCCGATGGCTCCGTAAGGTCGTGCGCAAGTCGCGCAGCGCTGCCGTCACTCAGGTACGTAGAAAGTCGATGGCCTAAAATTCCGTCTCTGGAAGACTGTCGACACGGGGATCACTCTCCATGGCTTCCACACCATAAGCACCATCAGATTCTTCCAGGTACATTACGACGACATCGTCTTCAGCGGCTGGAGCTCCCGATATTTGCGTGAGAATTTACTTGGCGTGCGCTCCGCTCCGCAATTTGAAATTCGCTTGCATCGGCGGCTGGAACGAAGTATTTATCTATCTGTCGTGGGTCCCAGAGCGAAGGTCTGCTAGGTCCTCGTCGGAGAAGTCATCTGAGGACGAAAGGAACTCACTGCGCAAGAGGAAATGCACCTGACGACGTTTTGACGGAGGCTGACGGCATTGTCGGCGCGCGTGTATTTCCGTAAATTTTCGATCGCGCAGTTCTCAATGAAATCAAATGGGACACGCGTAGATCTCTTCAGCTACGGATATGATCATACCTAGGCTGTGTGAGGGCCACGGGAAATCCCCGTGGGCTGATGCTTCCTGTCATACCAGGCATGGTTTTAGTATGCATGTCGAATGCGTCGTTTACGACGCATTCAAGTATGGGGCTGCCGGTAAAGGGTTAATATCTTATAGGAATGGATTTGCTCCCACACTGGAGCTCGCGCTATTCCGCCGACTTGACTTGACACTTGACTGACTCACAACTGCCATCCAGAGCACACAAGAAGTTCATCGAACCTTCGACTCGGCAAACCTGCAAGAATGCACCACTCCCTGCTCAATACACAGTGTTTCGAGGAATCCACCCCTCATCAGTTGAGCTCGAGTAGGCTGAGGAACATTGTGCCTGAAGACCACCACTTATATAGTGCTCTCCAGGCACAAACATCATAATTATGTTTGTATTCCTGGTGATGTTTGTGCCTGGAGAGCACTATATCACAGGTTTCCTAAAAAATTATTGCCGAAGTAGCAACAGCTATTTCTTAATATCTTATCTTATTTATTCCCATTTTATTGCACTGCGTTTCGAAATGCATGCCTCTCACTGATTCGTGGAAGAAGGAGGCAGTGGATGCCAGCTCGGAAGTATGCCTCGCTGCCGTGCGCAACATCAATCCCGTCGCTGCCGAGACTTCTGCAATTGCTGCCAATGCTGCAGCTTCCCCCGCATCTGCGACTGCTGTCATAGCAACGTCATCGCCTAGCCAACCCAACGAGGGTTCTGCCACTCCATCTGAAAAGGATCACACGGCTGCAGACTCGTCGGCTGGCACACGATCTGCATCTTTGGCAGGTGAGTGTTTTTTTTCTTGCGATGTTGTTCTACAGTACAGTCGGGCCCCGAAGAACGGAGAGCTGAAGAGCGACCAGGCTAGAATTTCACCAGTTTTAAAGAAGTGTCTAGTCTGGATTTTCACAGAGAATAACGTAACCTGTACTGCGCACTATAATGTGCGCTCAAAAGTAGAACTCAGAAGTAGAACTCAGAAGTAGAACTCAGAAGTAGAACTCAGACGTAGAACTCAGACGTATTTACCCTGCATACATGCAGCTAGGTTTCATTGGTATATTTCCACGGTTTAATGGCTAGTCAAATTATGTGAACCTGCAGATGTGCGTATGCGTCACTATGGAACAGTCATGCATTGGTACATGCATGTACAGTCCAAATGTAAACTTTCGTACACACAATGACATGTACGTGCACATGTATGACTGTACCATCGAAGAAGAATAAAACTGCTGTATTCGCGAAAAATAAGAACGGGCTAGGCTAGAACCCTGCCCCCCCCCCCCCTTTTTCTTCGGCGCCCGACAGGGCTGTAGATGTGTTCTGCCTGTGTGTGTATGTTTGGCTCAATGCATTGTCATTCATGTGACATTTTCTGGAGCCTGGTCACAGGATTGATTACAGAGGTGATTGGATGTAACGACCTTGCATTTAACGGCAGATTGAGTTAAGCGAATCCAACCTCGTAGCAGGAAATCACACACAGAGTGTCTCCACGTGCCTTTTCGCTACGCTACCAGCGCTGAGATTTCATAGGCATAATCCCTTCCCTCGCAGAAACTCGAATGAAGCCACCACGAAGCGTCACTTTCTGAACAACAGCCCAACATGACGAGTAAGAAGACCTGGTCAACAACAAATCAGCAAAGAGTGCAACAGTAGCGCAAGATGGCCCAGATTGGGCCAGAACGATCTCTTGTGCTGAGCAGCTAGTGCACATGAGTTTCACATGTGTGCCACGCTCCCATGAAAAACTTATTTCTCTCGCGCTGCTATGAGCTCACGTACTTCCGGTGCATGCACGGTTACATGCATTTTCAGGTGCCGGACGGCAGCGGCTGTGCCCCGAAGTGAACTTTTTTCAATTCTTGATTTTCCAACTCCAATGCATACCTGAAATCCCCGAGTGCCCAACTGCTACGTCGTGATTTTCTACTTGTGCGGCGAGGCATCGATGCACACGTGAAACTCGCGTGCACTGTCTGCCCTGTTAAGCTGGGCCATCTTCCGCTACTGTTGCACTCTTTGCTAATTTGTTGTGGATGAATTCGTCTTCCTCGTCATGTTGAGCTGTTGTTCAGCAAGTGACACTTCGTGGTGGCTTCATTCGAGTTTCTGCGAGGGCAGGGATTATTCCCAATATGTCTCAGTGCTGGTAGCGTAGCGAAAAGGCCTATGGAGGCTTTCCTGTGTGCTTTCCTACCACGAGTTTGGATTCGGCTATTTTTTTTTTTTTAGTTTTAGTGGATACCTTTATTCAAGACCACTAGTTGGTGCTTGAGGACATGTTGTAGCAGAATATGGTGATGGTCTACCCCAAATTCAGGACGTAACCCCGCTGCTACCGCCAGTACCCTTGAAGACAGCCTCCGTAATGGCCGTCATTGGACAGGCAGAATTGATCGATTCGCTCGAGGGACTCGGCAAGTCGCCAATCGAAAGTTAGATGACTAAACATTACTACGTAACTTGGATCGGTGTGTGAACATAGTTAAAATCCATACGTATTGTTCTTCTGTTGTCGTGATACGAGTTCGTACATATCATTTCTATCGACTGTAAGACCAACAATACTTTTAAATGTAGGGGATTAGAAGACCTTCGAAACTCACAAAATCAGTCGGGGAAGTGAACTGCGTGAAAAGAGAAGAAAAATATGCCCCCCCCCCCCCCCCCCCCACACGACTTGAACCCGGTACCTTGCTTGTCATGAGCCATACTCTAACTGGGAGAGGGGAAAGACCCAAGTGCAATCAGTACAATGTCATGTATATGTGGCACGTGGTGTGAGTTGCCTTTGGAGTGAAGTGCTTGTCAGCCCCTTCTAGGTTCAGCCTGGTCCCGTAGATCAGATGGTAAAGCCTAGTTCACATTCGACAGGGCGTGACGGTACACGACTTAAGGATCGACCGGAAGCCATGGGACCGTCTGACGGCGTCCAATGTGAACGGCAGGAACGGGAACGCAACCGTACTACCATAGGGATCGGGAAGCGACGGGAAGAGTTGGATCAGTTCAACTTTTCATACCGTAGAAGGGTGTAGACGGGGACGCAAGCATACACAACTGCAGTATTTTGAGTGTGAACAGGAGGCGTGTGCCGACTACTCTGATTAGTGCTTTGAATTTTTTTACCATTTCGAACACTACGCTGCCCATGATAACTCGCAGAATGGCTCACACGACTTGAGTTGAATTTTAGCAAGATAAGATCCCTTGCTGAAGCCTCAGCCCTTCTTCAAACTTGGTTCCCCTCTTCCCGGAGCGAGGCAGCGTGGCGGTTTGTACAATGGTCTTGGAAGCTGCAGAGGAGCGAGTGTCAATTGTCTTTTCTTTTGCAGTGCCGGCGAGAGGGATTGATCCCCAGATTCAATTCGAACTGTGTGCGGAAGCCAGCATCAACGAGTCACAAGACCATCAGGGAACACAAGAGACATCAGTACTGCCGCCGTCTTCTCTGCGATGCAATCGAAGACAAATGCGCAGAGAAAGATTACCGCGGGAGGCGATACAAGGAGTCCAGAGAGCAACTGTGGACGTTTACACAGTCGGACTACCTATTGATCCGTTCTCTTCAACGTGCAGTGGTTACCGAAGAACGAATAAGTTCCAACGCCAGACTAAATCGGAAGATTTCTGGACTTCGAGAGGCGGATCAACGTGTGGCGGGAACCAACAGCTCACCCCGCGGCCCAACTCCTGTTGCCGCCGTTGGTGTTGCGTCACCCAGTGGGCATACGGCCAATGCTGAGCCAGTCCATGAGCGGGCGTTGGTGGTGGACGACTGTGTGTCCGACCAGACAAGGCGTCTGCTGGAACATGGACCTAGCTTTGTCCCGTCGACGGGGAGGCTCACCAAGCAAGAACGAACAGATGTTGAGACATCGGTAGAGAGGATGGCGTTCACCCTCCGGTGGCAACAGCCCCAGCCTCAGGGTGTGGACCTCAAAGAGGAAGACCCACCGCCAGAGATCAGACAGGACAAGAAATTGTGGAAGCTGATGAAGCGCGGCTTTAAGCAGCCCCCACAGATGGACGACAAAGACGAAAGGAATATGGCCAACTTCCGCGACGAGGTGTTACGGGCATATGACAGACACACACCCTCTAATCCCAATCTGACGCAGGAGGAGCGGGTGGAGCTGAAGCGACTTCGCACAGACCAAGAAACCATCATCAAACCATCGGATAAAAGTAAAAACTCGTTGCTATGAGACAGGAGCTGTATTTGCAGAAAGCAGAAGACATATTATCGAACATGATCATGTATGAGAAAGTAGATTTGACCATAGAGTCCTACGAGACCAAGACACGAGAAGTAATACTGTCAGAGTGCAAGAACATGGATTCAAAACTCCTGAAGTCAATCCTACCAAGCAGTACGAAGTTCCCCGAGTGGTACGGTCTTCCAAAGGACCATAAGCAGAACTTACCATTGCGACCCGTGGTAGCAGCGTGCGACAGCCCAACGACTGGAGTATCTATTGTATTGGAGCGCATCCTACAGCAGCTCATTCAATTTGTCCTGGCCCACCTGGCTAACACGACGGAAGCAATACCCCACATCTGTGACGCATGTCCGGGATTGAACGCCCCCGATGGCACCATTGTTATGTCCATGGATGTAGTCGGGTTATATCCGAGCATACCTATTCGGGAGGGCGTTCAGGCAGTAGTGGATATGCTGCAGCAGTATTCCCAGCGGATCGACATGTTTGGGCTGAGTGTGAGCGGGGTCCGGAATCTGCTGCTGTTTGTTCTCAGCCACAACTATTTCAGATTCGGCCATCAGATCTATCACCAAGTGGACGGGGTTGCAATGGGTAACAATCTTGCACCCCCATTTGCGATTCTATTCATGCATACGGTTGAGGCCAGGCTTCTGCAGGATTCTCCGTTAGTACCGCTCCTCTACAAACGCTACATCGACGATATCCTGCTGCTATGGACCCATGGCAGAGAGAGCTTGATGCGGTTTGTGCAGCATTTCAACTCTGCACACCCGAGTACCAACTTCACATATGAGCTCAGCGAGGTGAGTGGCTCCATAAATTATATGGATATCACAATTATGATCCAGGAAGGCAAGCTGGCATACAAGCTGTACCAGAAGGCATGTGCTAGCGGTCTACTCATTGATTATACTTCGGCAGTTCCCCACCATATCAAATTGGCAGTTGCTTCCTCACAATTCCTAAGAGCTCAGAGGCTCTCATAGAATACTAGAATGCGTGCAGAAAGTGAAGCGAGGGTTCATGAACAATTAAGATTGAACAATTTCCCAGAGAGAATCATTGAAGAGGCACGCACTGCCTCCATAATGCCAAAGCGCCGTCGCCGTGCCAACCCATGCTGCGCATTTCTAAAGCTTCCATATAAGTCAGATAAAGTACTTCAAGCAGTGAATAAAGGAATCAGAAAGTATAAAATTCCGATTAGAGTCGTATATGAGCACACTGGTAACCTGAGGCGCACATTGTGTCGCTCCGCCCTCGTTTCTCCTCTATGTGTCAAGGCTGCAAATCCGCTACAACCGAAAGAAGAGAGGTCGCCCAAAGGGGCCGTGTATCTCGTGTATATCCGGGGGACAGGATGTATGTATGCAGAAGAATGTTGTATATCAGCGGAAGTGGAAAGAATGTCCGGAACAATATGTTGGTGAGACTGGCCGCTTTCTGGAAACTCGCCTGGAAGAACATAATGGTGAGGCAAGACGACAGGAACTCGACAAGCCATGAGGCCAACATTTTCGTACCACTCACCCTGGATGCAAGCTCAACTATGGGCAAAGTGCATTCTCTGCAGTTGAAGTAATAGGAAGAGAGCCTGATCGAGCTTGTCGCAAACTGCGCGAGGCGATTGAGATTCATGATGCTAAGCCCCATGTGAACATAAGCACCGGATGGGATTTGTTGTGAATTTTCTTAGCTTCCCCTGCTGCTACTTCAATATCACTGAATATAATATGAGGCGGGTCACTCAAATCCATTCTGTTCTTGATGCCTCGTCGCGTCCCTGGTGGTAACAGTTTGGCATGGAAGTTTAACCTCATAGTGGATTGGCGCATGGGCCTCCGTGCTCCCCTCCTTTAATGTGCTAGAATTAACACCATAATTATTTGGCATGTACCCTCACTTCGTAGAGCACAACGGCGCGCTCTTCTTCTCCGTGATGTGCACAGTTGCACCTTCTCTCCCCCCTCTGTATAGAGGTGACATAACTCGCATCATTATTTTATTTTTTTGGCGCTACACTCTGCGTAACGCCATTCACAGAGCACAATGCGCGCTACCTTCTGCTGCTTCTCCTCCGTGATGTGCTAGTTGCGCCTTTTCTCTCTCTCTCTGCCCCCCCCCCCCCACCCCTTCTGCATACTAGGTGACATAATTCGCATCTTTTTTGGCGCTACACTCTGCGTATATACTGCTCTTGTGTGGCTTCCACGGTATTCATTGTTATTACCTGACCATGGCCAAGTGCCGAAACGTTGTAGAAATAACGGAACTGGTTCGGATGTGATGTGCAGCGCTATGGGAATGGGTGTGTCCACCCGAATTCTTTTCATAAGATCCCTTGTCACTTATCGTATTTAGGGATAGTTCAGCGGCTTGACAGATGAACTGTTTTATTATTTCCTGGTGCTATTATTTGAATGACACAACTTTCAGGGCTACTTTTTTTAGTCTTCCTGAAAAACTGGTATTGTGACTTGATTTCGCTTCATTCAAGGAGAAATAATTGACAAGAAGTCCCGAAAAACAAGAAATTACTTCAAGTAGGTCCGAAAGTCATCCCGTCACGGATCATGCCTTATGACTCGCTCCGTTCGCTGTTGAACATCGCAACGACTGCTGCATGTCGAGTTGTACGAATTGTACAAGATTTTACAGCTGAACCCAGCCGTCCCGACAGGCCAATACGTCCCGTACCGTCAGCGTTGCGTCGAATGTGAACTAGGCTTTAGAGCATTTCTCATGACAAGCAAGGTCCTGGGTTCGAGTACTGGTGGGTTTGGCATTCTTTTCTCTTTCCAGGCAGTTCATTTCCCTGAAAGATCCTTTGAATTTGAAGTTCTCCCAATCCGTTCAAAATCGATCACTTTCTTTCACCTCTCGTAGTACGTTCCAGAAACTGACCGTGGTTGGAATTTGGTCCCCTGAGGGAAAAAGACCAAGTGCCATCAGTATGTGTGGCACGTGTTGTGAGCTGCCTTTGCAGTGAAAAACGTGCCTTCCAGGTTCGACCTGGTTCCATAGCTCAGATGGTGTGAGCATCGCTCATAACAAGCAAGGTCCCGGGTTCGAGTCCTGGTGGGGTTAGCATTTTTTTTCTCTTTTCAGACAGTTCACTTCCCTGACTGAACTTTCGAACAATTTATTGTTTTTTTCTTTCCAGGGATGTTTAGGGTATTTCGCACACAATAAATAATGAGTTGATGGTATGTTTTGCCTGAAGCCCCTCCCCTTATGCGAGGCAAAAGCCTGTGGAGAATCCATAAAATGTAATACAATTACAGATGCCTAATGTCGAAGCACTCGTCACGGATTTTGGTCACACGCTTTGCTTACGTGTTTGTGTATATGCTTGTGTTCGTTCTTTCGTTCATGCATGTTTGTGTGTGTGTGTGTGTGTGTGTGTGTGTGTGTGTGTTTGTGTGTATGTGTATGTGTATGTGGCTGAGCATGCTTGTACGTGCCTGCACGCATATGTGTGTGTTCATGTGTGTGCGTATGTGTACTTGTTGTTGTTGTTGTTGATCACTTGCAGCAAAACGAGGTACGGGTCCGTCCGACGAGGCCATGCATGAAGCTACAAATAGCACACTGAGCAGCGGTTCGACCAGAGTACGCCGTATCCGCATCAGCCTCTGCGGTCAGTTTGGAACCGGCAAGACGAGCCTGGCGGATTCGCTCAAGAACAAGCAGTTCGTGGACAAGAAGCCAAGTACACCGTTGCTCGTTGTTGATCATGGCAATATGCTCCACGACGGAGGAAACCTGACAGATTGGAAGTTCAATGCTGCACTCCTCTGCGCTCCGGACATCCTTGATCAGGCTGAAGATCTTGAGAAGAAATACCAACAAGAGCAAGAACAGCAGCAACAGGAGCAAGAAGCTGCAAGACTGGCCGAGCCAGCGGCGAAAGTCCCAAAGCGAGCTAAGTCTACAGGACTCCAGCGTGAGGGAACAGCGACGAAAGAGGCAGCAGTAGAACATCCACAGCGCCAAAAGCAGCAACACCCCATCGTAGTGCCTGGACACCGAGAAAACGTGGAGGGGAGCTCTGCACCAAGACACAAGCAGGCATCGAAGGAAACATCAAAACTCACTGCAGATCCAGAAGCAGCACTCAGCTCTGTTGAATTGACACAGAGCCTGGTTGATGTCATCTTGGCGAACCAAGAGCTGATGCGAGAAATCCGCAAAGAAGAAGTGGTGGTGTCCATTTGGGATTGCGGCGGCCAATCAGTCTTCTCAAGCCTGCAGCATTTCCTAATGGGTGAAGATTACGTCATCTATATTCTCTGTTTCAACGCCTCGGAGAACTTCGATCACATCAAGCAGCAGAACTACTGGAAGTGGTCAGGGAGTACAGTGTCTGAAGTGACTCTGGATGTACCGGAGGAGCTGGAGAACATCGACCACATTCGGCACTGGCTAACAGCCATCCACTTTGCCAGCAACCCAGGCAAGGCTGTGGGAAGCGAGGCGTTCGACTACCCGCCTGTGATATTGGTGGGGAAATTTGCCGACAAGCTGTCGACAGATAGGACACTTTCGGAGCACAAGATCGATATCCTCGAGAAGCTGCGAAACCTCTGTTGGCGGTCACCAACATTGAAGGGTGTGATCAAGAACGATGACATTGATCCCGCAGAGTTGTTCCTTGTGGACAACCACGAGTCCGGAGCTTCTCAAGAAGTTCTAGGTATCCGAGAGAAGCTGCAGGATGCTGTTTCGTCGGTGCTGGCAGACAAGAAGATGCCGACGGAATGGGTTCGCTTTGAGATGATACTGGAGTATCTCAAGAAACAACCCGCCCACACTGGCTACACAACACGAGGATGGATGAAGACACTGTTGGAGAAGGCCTGCAAGATCCAGGATGACTCCGGCATGGACGGTGCTCTATCCGAGTTCGAGCGTCTTCTTCGGTTCTACAACGACCTACGTGTGATTATCTATCGGCCGGCAAACATGAACTTGCCGCAGCCTGATGACATCATCTTCCACAACACACAGTGGCTCATCAGGCAGATAAACGTCCTCGTCTTTGGCCACAAGTACCTGGATGAACCTGGCGGAGGTGACGGCAAGACGGAGAAGAAAGCAGGGAGAGCAGAGACGGAGTGGCGCGACTATCTGTGGAAGGAGGGTATAGCACGCATGCCACTAATAGAGTGTGCCTGGAAGGAGGTGAAACGAGAAGTACGTGAAAAGATGCTTGACGTGATGGTCGACTGGGATTTCCTGTACAAATTCGGAGACGCCCAGCAAGCAAAGTATTTCATCCCGTCTGCTCTTCAACACCGACCGCCAAAGAAAATCGAGGAGGCCATGCGCAGCTTCCAGCCGGACAATGAGCCAAACGACGTCTGCTTCTCCACGGCTGACACACCGTTACTGATCGTGGTTCAGCCACCAGGCAAGGCTGATGAAGACGTCCTAAGCTACAAGTATCCCGACGCGGACACACCGATGCCACACAGCTCCTACTTCAAGCTACTTGTAAGGCTCATGAGAAAGTGGGACATCACAAATACCGACCGGAGTCACTGTGAGCTCACCTACAACACAGCCAGGTTTCGGCTGTGGCTGCCGGAGCAACTCCGTGACCAGTTCCCAGGCAAGGTGGAAATCTTCTTGGCTCACTACGACTCGTCAGGTGCATTGCTGGTCAGCATCAACTTCCGGTGCTCGCCTGACTGTGCTGCTAGCACCTCTGACTGGCTGCATCCGACCTCATCGATATGCCAGCATGTCCGCAAGGATATCATGGAGGAGTTGGGTAAGCTGGAGAACCCGAAACTGGACGAACCGGTCATGTTCAGTTTACCACTACCGCCAGTGTGCGCATGCAAAGAGCAGGAGT